TAAAACCAATTCGAGGGCCATATAAGTTTCCCCATAATTACTGTGATAATCCTGTGGATTCCAGACCTGATTGATCAAAAGAATGACATGTAAACACTTGAATTCTGCCCCCTTGTTAGTCCAGACATAAAACTCAGCCGTATCTCAATTTCTAGAAAAGGGTTTCACAAGTTTAGTGACTCTCCAGAGGTCACTGGGTGTCAGGCGATGTCCTTGGACAGGTCACACACAGCACAGGTGTATGATCAGCTTCCGTTCCACAGCCTCTCCAGACCACAGGACACCTCCATCCGCACAAGGGTCCCCCGGGGCTCAGCTGCTATCCCGAGAGGTCAGGTGAATGCCCCTTGTTTCCTCTCATATTGGAAACGAGAAAATAACTGTAAGGGACTTACATCGGTACCTATGAAACTCTACACAGTGGACGTGTTGGGTGTGGAAGCCTCTTGCCCACAAACAGTAGGAACTGCGAGGGCGTGTTCTACGGACGGAACCATTTCCGGTTAAGAGCGCAGGATCCGGAGGAGCAGTGTCCAGCTGAGACCCAGTCAGGACACAGACACGCCTGGTTTCCAAGCTGCTCACTACCGGCCTGACAGTGACGGTACACGGCACCCCACCCTCAGGCGGCGCCGCACGGAGCTTGTGGACCTCCAGGTCGCCTCAGAGAGAAACAGGGTGAATTCTCTGCTGCTATTGATCCTGTCTGATTCCAACACCAGACTGATTCCAAAACCTGCAGAAATAGAGGCCCCCGCGATGTGTAGACGTTTTGAATATCATTGTGGAGATTTAGATGGAGAACATCACCGTGGGGCTTTCTCCAGTGCGGGAGCCCAGTATGTCCAGCCTCATGGGCTGCTGGGCCCGGTGGTGTCGCCGCAGAGCGGGGCATGGGCACAGGGGCTCCAGGGCGAGGGGCACGGGGCTGCTCGCCATGTGCCCAGAGCCGCTGAGGGACCAGTGACCACTTTCTGGAAGATTCTTGCTCCTATTTCCTGATTTATATCCCCAGTAAGACTCACAGACAGCCAGACAGATGTGGAGTGGGAATGTGTGTGGTTTATTAAACTTAGATGAAATAAATCCTGGCTCGCAGGAGGGAGAAGCAGACGCCCCAATGCCCTGCTGGGGACAGAAATGGGGCAACGTGACAGCAAGTCGAAGGGAATGACAGGATTCGCTGTGAGGGTTCACTGCCGCCTCTCCACACTAAGTCATGCGAGCATGTTCAACATTTTCGTGGAAAAGTATAGCTAAAATTTGAAAACATGAGTAGGCATGAAGTAACCTTCCACAGTCTTTAAATTGCATTAATCTTGAATTAATGTCCAAAATAAGAATCATAGAGTTGAAAAGAATCCCCCAGCGTCCGAGCAGCCCAGGAGAGATGGAGCTTCTCCGTCACACTGAGGGATCGGAGTTCACCAGGCTGTGAGGCAGCCGACTTCACGCTGACCACCTGCAACCGCTGCACATTTCTTCCTTAGATTTCAGTGAGCCTCTCCTCCCGTAGCTTCTGCCAGTCCGCTCCCGCCAGAGGAGACCCCACATGTCTTAGGACCAATCATGGCCCCTGTTTCATCTCCTCCTGCCTGCCGGGAGGACCTCAGCTGCTAGGTTAACTGGGGCGTCTCTCCAGGTGCCGAAGCCCCGGGTGTGGCTCCCACCATCACCACCCTCTGTCAGTGTAGAGTGAAATGTGCTATCACACCTGACACTCTTCACTTAACACGAAGTCTCCCAAAATGCTCAGCACTTTTTCAGTCATTGTCATAAACATCGGTCTTCCCATCCCCGGCTTAGCCTTGGGCAATTTACTTTTAGTGGAAGGATCAATCTTTAAATTGACCCTATTATGTGTTCTTTTGCTTGTTTTGATTTGCAATTTAATCCAGATCTGATCATTTTATGTCCTTTCATTAAAAATATTAGCTATCATCTAAGCCAATCAGTTTAATTCAGTTTGCCTGTGGTTTGCTAAATCAGTGAATTTTACAATATGCCTGTCTCCATGAAAAAGAAAAATTAGCTATCCATTCCAAAGTCGTGTCATTTCTAAATTTGGTCAATATGAAGTTGATATATTCATTTAAGACCCTGATCAAAATGCTAATCAGATTGGAGACAAATAAAAATGAACTTTTTATCCTGTTGAATGTATACGTCTGTGCAGGAGACTCTTCAACACGTCACTGAGGATTCGGATCACAGCTTCTGTGGTCATCTTTGTCGATCCTCTTGCGGGAGGTTACTTCATGCCTACTCATGTTTTCAAATTTTAGCTATACTTTTCCACGACAATGTTGAACATGCTCGCATGACTTAGTGTGGAGAGGCGGCAGTGAACCCTCACAGCGAATCCTGTCATTCCCTTCGACTTGCTGTCACGTTGCCCCATTTCTGTCCCCAGCAGGGCATTGGGGCGTCTGCTTCTCCCTCCTGCGAGCCAGGATTTATTTCATCTAAGTTTAATAAACCACACACATTCCCACTCCACATCTGTCTGGCTGTCTGTGAGTCCTACTGGGGATATAAATCAGGAAATAGGAGCAAGAATCTTCCAGAAAGTGGTCACTGGTCCCTCAGCGGCTCTGGGCACATGCCGAGCAGCCCCGTGCCCCTCGCCCTGGAGCCCCTGGGCCCATGCCCCGCTCTGCGGCGACACCACCGGGCCCAGCAGCCCATGAGGCTGGACGTACTGGGTTCCCGCACTGGAGAAAGCCCCACGGTGATGTTCTCCATCTAAATCTCCACAATGATATTCAAAACGTCTACACATCGCGGGTGCCTCTATTTCTGCAGGTTTTGGAATAGTCTGGTGTTGGAATCAGACAGGATCAATAGCAGCAGAGAATTCATCCTGTTTCTCTCTGAGGCGACCTGGAGGTCCACAAGGCTCTGGCACGGTGCCGCCTGAGGGTGGGGTGCCGTGTACCGTCACTGTCAGGTAGTGAGCAGCTTGGAAACCAGGCGTGTCTGTGTCCTGACTGGGCCTCAGCTGGACACTCTCCTCCGGAACCTGGGGTCTGGGCCGGCTCATGTACAAGATGGCAACAAGATATTAGTGTTGGCCATCTGCAGGCTGGTTGAGCCTAGCGGCTCCATGAGGGGTGAGTATTGGTTGTTAAAAGAATGATGTCTTCGGGAATGTGCCCAACAAGACAGTTACTGTACCTGGTTTCCTGGGTGTCAGAAGTCATCAGAGTGAGACATCACTGCTCACCTGACACTCAAGGATTACAGTCTGTTCTTGTCCTTGGCTGGTGTGTGTTGGGGCAGGTTTGTCTTGGTGGGTAGACTCCTGGTCCAGAAAGGAAAGTGATGGTATCTGCTGGTGTTCATGACCCAGGTGTCCTCCAGGTACACACTTCTCACAGGTCATAATTGCCAGAGATGTCAGTGTGGTGACATGAGCTCAAAAGAGAGATGCTTAAGCTTGTATTATACTTGACATGGAAGTGTGAGATGCAATCAGAATTGTTACTGCCCTTAAATTTTATAATATACACTGATTTTCGTTTTGTTCATATTCTTATGCACATAATTGTGTTTCCTTACTGGCAATAAGTATTTGTAGAAAGGGAACATCTTACCATTTTCCTCTGTTGTCTGTAAACACACACACACACACACACACACACACACACACACACCCCGAGCACTCATCACTGTTTCTAGCATGTCATTCTCTGCCGGGCTTCTGTCCTCGCCATCCCCAACAGACAGTTGTCATTGTTAACCAGAGTTTATGGGAAATGAAAAAGGTCCGTGTGGCCTGGCCCTGTCCTCAGAGCCCTCGCAGTTACCGTGGTGCTCAGTACCTGTCTGCCCAGTGCAGTGACCATTGGCCCCAGCGACTGTTGTGACAGAGGGACTGAACGCTCACTTTTATTCAATTCTAATTAAGTATAAAGAGGCACATGTGACTCATGGCTGTCTCACTGGGTAGCACAGTAACTGCAGAAGAATTCATGGCATCAGAAAAGGTCATTGTAAGTGAAGAACCATGACCTGTCATTCGAAATGCCTTTTTCCAGGTAGAGCCCAATGATGTTTACAAGTACTGCTGCATTGTTGTTGGCAGACGCTGGCACGGCTGTCACAATAAGGGGAAATCAAGCAGCTTCCACGTGAAGCTTCCACGGGGAACAGGAGGCCATTCTCCATGCTGTGCTGGGTGCTCTGCAGATCTGCTTCCACGAGCACATTTTCACAGGCGTTTAAGTGAGATCACAGTTTTTTCCACTTCATGTAAAGGGGGGGGCAGCAGTGTGAGCCACAGAGTCCGTGGCACAGCCAGTCAGTGGGGGTCCAGAGCACCCCTCACCTCTCCCACAGGGACGCTTCCCCGCGGCATCGGAGGACAGGTTGGGGTCAGGAGCACGCCTGGCACTGCCTCTGGGGCCCGGTGCGTGAAGCCGAGCACCTGACTGGGTACCGTGGGTCTTGGTTTTCTCCTTCTAACTGGAGAGAGTGAAGGCCCCACCGCGCAGGGCTGTCCTGAGGGTTATTTGAACCACACGTGTTTGCCGTGATCATTTTTTATTTGCAAGAGTCGGCGGTTCATGTTCCGATGTCGTATTGTGGTGATATTAGTAGATGAAACAGATACGCGTTCGGTGTGCTTGCCTGGAAAAGGGGCGCGACTAATATTCAGATACTTCGGGAAAAAGGCGCTGCCGGTCAACACTGCGGTGCTTCCACAGCCGGGACCATGAGGTGTCCGAGCCCAGGGCCCAGGCCGCTCCTCGCCTGGAGCTTCGCGCGGCCCTCGCAGGGGTCCCCTCCGGTGCGCGAGGGGCCCTGCAGGCGGGGCGGCGACAAGCGCCCCCCGGAGGTCGCTGCGCGCTCCTGCAGCCGGGGCCGCGGCCAGGGAGCCGGCACCCGAGCCGGCGCACCCACTGCTGCCGGTCCCACACCTGTTCGGGGTGCCGGTGGCGGGGGTGCCCCAGCTTCCGCAGCACGGAGGCCGACCTGCTCTCCCTCTGTCCGCCCAGGTGGCCGCTGCGCAGGATGCCAGGGGCGGCCGGAAAGACGCCTCGGACCAGAACTTCGACTACATGTTCAAGCTGCTCATCATCGGCAACAGCAGCGTGGGCAAGACGTCCTTCCTGTTCCGCTACGCCGACGACTCCTTCACGTCTGCATTCGTCAGCACCGTGGGCATCGACTTCAAGGTGAAAACCGTGTTCAAACACGAGAAGAGAATCAAGCTTCAGATTTGGGTGAGTGACGGGAACTGAGGTCTGGGGGCTGCAGCGCGTGGGAGGGAGCCTCCTGCGGCCCACGGCCCCGCCCCGCAGCCGCTCTTTGGGGCGGTGTGTGTCCGAGGCCCGTGTGTGTCCGGGCCCGTGTGTGTCCGGGGCGGTGTGTGTCTGGGCCCGTGTGTGTCCGGGCCCATGTGTGTCCGGGGCGGTGTGTGTCCGGGCCCGTGTGTGTCTGGGCCCGTGTGTGTCCGGGCCCGTGTGTGTCCGGGCCGGTGTGTGTCCAGGGCGGTGTGTGTCCGGGGCGGTGTGTGTCTGGGCCCGTGTGTGTCCGGGCTCGTGTGTGTCCGGGGCGGTGTGTGTCCGGGGCGGTGTGTGTCCGGGGCGGTGTGTGTCCGGGGCGGTGTGTGTCCGGGCCCGTGTGTGTCCGGGCCGGTGTGTGTCCGGGCCCGTGTGTGTCCGGGCCGGTGTGTGTCCGGGTCCGTGTGTGTCCGGGCCGGTGTGTGTCCGGGCCCGTGTGTGTCCGGGGCGGTGTGTGTCCCAGGCGGTGTGTGTCCCGGGCGGTGTGCGTCCGGGGCAGGAGCAGAAGCCTCGTTCAGGTGTGGAAACGATATGCCAGTTGCCAGGGGTGCTCTGGTGAGTCTCTGGGGAGAGAAAACCTGCATGGCGCTGGCTGGTGGAAGGGGCAGCCGGGGTAAGTCTGGCTCTGCCCGTGACCGTGAGGCGTCTGAGCTCTTCTGCACCAGGTTCCTAATCCACAGAACAGGCGGATCCCACCTTTTGAGCCCAGGAAGCAGCCTGTCCTGGGCACTTGAAAGAAAAAGGCAAACACCCAAATGTAGAAAAAGCTTAAGTCTGTCCCTTCAAAAAGTGCAGATATAACCTTGAACACGGTTGATTTACGCGTCTTTGTGCTCTTAGCTCTAACAGCTATACTTACCCACACAAATAAAACGAACAGAAACAAGGTAAAATGTGCATTTTAAAACAGCGTGTTCCCCTAAGCACAAGGTTGTCCAGTCAGTTTGGGACAATTTGGCAGAAGATCAGAGGTTGCTTTACTAGATTGCTGGGGTAAATTTAGAATAGCAAGTGAGAAACAGAAGAAAGGAGTGTGGGTAACGGGTTCAAGGTAAATGAGAGTGGGACCAACAGCTCCATTACCCAGAGGTAATTGCGTGCTGACCATGAGTGCCCAAGACATCAAGGACAGATACACCTGCCGAATGTTTCCGGTTAGCTCAGCCCCTTTTCCTGCTCTGTTACCTCTGCGGCTGATGCTGATTCGAGCCATGAACAGGTGTTTCCCAGGTGGTGAGGTTTCTTCTGATTCGGTTCTGGTACCACTCGCTGCTGGGCCGGGCTGACCGAGGACCCACAACACCTCCCTCTCGAGTCCGGAATGTTGAGAGAAAGACAAGTCCCGGGCAGAGCCCTTTTTAGAACATTTCCATAAACTGGTGACCTTTCCATGTCTTGAAGCTCTGAGGTGCGCTGGCAGGGGTCCCCTCAGACAGCTCCCAGGAGATTCTCCTTCCCGGCAAGTTACGACTCAGGTCAGAACTTGTAAGAGTGGGCTCCGCACCTGTACCCGCTGCTTTATCATGAAGAAGTCTCCTTGAACACGGTGCTGTCGTGAAGGTGGCAACCGCACACACGTATTCTGGGATGTTCAGGAACACGTGATTGTCCAGGGGCCCAGGCGGTGGGGAGACATGCAGGAGGGAGAGGGCTGGCACCGCGTGTGGTTCCTGTGGCCACGCGGGGAGTTGCCGCCTGGTGCTGTGATGTGTGTGTGCTGGAAAAGGGTTAGATGTGTGCAGGTCCTACTGCTTGGCCACTGCAGGACATCATGCATTTGATGTTGACGGTTTGTCGTCTCGTTGCATTTTAATTACCGTACAACTGCTTTTCCTGGTTCATAGCACAGTATTCATGTGAACTTATATTGACGTGTACACACGTTGAGATGTTGCTGTCATCTCAGCCTACACGAAGGTCCCCTTCTGCTCACACACCTGTGACAGCCATTCCCGATTCCCTGTGGACACCCGCTGGCTGTCCTGCAGTCTAACCGGATTCTGACAGCAACCACCTGGATGAGCAGACTCCACAGGCAGACACCTGAGTTTTGCAGACGACTCCCTGCCTCCGGAGACCAATCCAAGTCGGGAGGCTCCCATAACCACACCTGTCACGGTTGATAATTTGCTAGAACAGCTCATAAAACTCAGGAAAACAATGTACTCACTGTTAGTGGTTTATTACAGAGAATACAACTCAGGGACGGTGGAAAGAAGAGACACATGGGACAAAGGGGGGAGATGTGGGGTGCAGCCTCTCTGTCCTCTGGCGGTGTCACCCCTAGCATGTCAGTGTGGTCACCCACCCGGAGGCTCTCCACACCGCCTCCTCTAGGATGTTTATGGACCTTAGTCCATGGCCTCAGTCGATTAAAATCACTGGCCATTGCTGATTAATCTGATTTTCAGCACCTGCCCCCTCCCCGCGGTCATGGGGTGGGGCGCAAAGTTCCAGCCCCCTGGTCCCATGATTTGTTCTTCTGGCAAAGTCTTCATCCTGGAGCCCTGGGGCGGCCCCGGGAGTGGCCTCCCCAGCTGAGTCCGGCGCGGGCAGGGGCTTGCTGGGAGCGGTCCCCAGAGACCCAGTCCGCGGCCTCGGGCTCCGCGGGCACAGGAGGAAGGCCCAGCACACGTGCAGACGTGGGGCCGCCACGCAGGTTTCCAGGGAGAGACGCAAAGTGGCTTCACGGTGATTAGTCCGACCCAAGGTGACGTCGCCCAGGCCAGGCCGCAGAGGCCGGTGCACTTGGGATCCGCTGCTCTGCCGACTCGAGCTGCCCACAGACAGCGGGACTTTCAGGAGAAGAAGCCGCGGCGGGGTCCCAGCTCCGGGTGTGCGGCGGCCGGGCCTCTGGGGCTGACCCGCCTTCAGGTCACGTCCAGGCCGCGCTGGGCTGAGCCTGGGCCCCGGTTGGCAGCATCTGCCAAGGGCTTCTGTCGGGGGCAGAGCGGGGGGCTCCCTGCTTCCTGCTCGTGGTTCGCTGCGTGGGGGTCCCCCCCCCCGGACAGCTGGGTTCTCAACAGCCCACATTCCGGTAACGCGTTTTCGTGGCGACGGAGACAGGACGTTTCTCCTTGGACGTGTCACCCCCGTTCTGCGGAAGTTCGTTACCTCCTGGGAATAAAGGTGTTTAGAAAAATATCATCGTTTGTTTAGTTACAAACTATTATTCTGTTAGTATGGTCACGACTCCCTCTGTTCTTTGCTGTATTGACATTTCTTGCTGACTTTCACTGTATTATCATTTTTATGATACCCCACATTTTCAAGATTTTGGAGATTTCAAGGATTTAGTCTGGCTCTTTTACAATTTTGTGTTTATTTAATGCTGTTAGGAATATACTGGAGAGAAGTTCAGTGTGATTTTTCACTTTAATTATAGGAAAATACTTCACAGCTGGGGCCTATAATATTTTGCTTCTAGTTTAAAAAGCAGTTTAGCCTCGAGAATGGCCATGTGGAGTGGATTTCTTCCCAGTGAGGAGATGGAAATAATGTGCCTCCATTACCGAGAACGTCTGTGTTTGTCGCAGTGTCTGGAAGCACACGGTGCGCTGACCATCGCTGGCCGGGGCCGAGTCGGCAGCCAGACCAAAAGCGAACCCTGGGTCCCCCTTTCCCGTGGGATCTGCACTGTTCATGTCCAGACATCACTGTCCCTGCCGACGAGTGGAGTCTGGCTTAGAGAACAGAGGTTTGCAGTGGACGGGGCCAGTGGGCAGCGGGGTCACTGCTTCTTAAGAATCGTCACGGGCATTTTCTTATTCTTGCGTCTCTCTTGCTCACGGTCACCCTTCACCATTGCTGTCTTCCTCTCTCTTTGCTGTCTTCATGTCTGAGCTCTGGCTGAGCTCATGGGAAACTCACGCTCAGGGCGTCAGAGACCAGGGCGGCCACAGAGAGCGTCCTTGCTGAGCTGTGCCCGGCCCGGGTGCGGGGCCCTGTCCTCCTCACAGAAATGCCGTCTGCTCCTCCAGCCTGTGCCTGGCCCCGGGCCCGCACTGCAGCGTCCACAGAGCCGTGTCACCATCCGGTGCAGGCGGACGAGGGGACCGAGGCTGCCTACTCGCTGGGAAGAGGGTGTCCTAAGATAGACGCTTTGGTTCTGCTCACGCAGCCAGGCCAGCAGGTCAGCAGGTCAGCAGACACTGCCTCTGACATGCTGGTTCCTAAGCTCACAGATCCCAGGAGAGGCCGGAGGCTCGGGGAGGCCCCCAGGGAAGGAGCAAATCCTCAGGGGGTAGGGAGCAAGGGAGAGACAGCCTGTGTTTCTAGAAGGAACCGGCAAGGTGGGTGAGCAGGCCCTGGACACGAGGGCTGTCCCAGGTGGTCTGGCACCTGCCTTCGGTGACCAGGCAGGTGGACAGTGGCCAGAGTGTGGGAGCCCAGAAGGGGGTGCGGGGCTGGGCTCTGGACTGGTAGGTCTGTACGTGAAATGAGCCAGTGGGTTGTTCGTTGTCCCAGGACTTGCTAACCCCGAGGGGCCCAGGTGCTCGGAGCTCCAGGGGGCCCTCTGTGACTGATCCCCTCTGACAGGCGCCTGTGATCTCAGCCACCATCACCGTGGTGCCTTTCTGGGTCTCAGTGTCCGCAGACCTAGAGCGTTGGATCGAGTCAGGACCTTACAGACTGTGTGGCCCAGCGACTCATTTGAGGATACGACTGATAAAAGCATCGTTCATTGAACCCCATTGACCCATAAAGCAAGCACTTTATGTTATATGCGTTTTAGAATTTCTTTTTTCAACAGCCCGTGAGGGCAAGTGGTCTGATTAACCCGTTAGCAGAGGAAACCAAGAATCAGCTCCCAAGGTCACGGTCGGGCTGTGTCAGGGCTCAGACCCCAGGCCTGCCCTTGACCACAGGCTGTCAGGGGGCCTTCAGGGTCTGACCCCTACATCTGAATCCCAGTCTTTCTTTCCACACCAGTTATTGAT